CCTTGTGCAGGGGCCTTTATAGAGGAGGGTCGCTAGTGATTGGAGCAAATTATTTTGATCTCCCTGGCGTGTGACCTGGGGGTCACGTGATATCCAACTAGCGAAGTCCGCTAAGGGACGTAGCACCATGACGTAGAACGGACTCTGACACAAAGCCCTCCAAACCTCAGCCTGACTCGGTAAAGCAGCAAAATGGCCCAGTCCCAACACTCGCACTTCCACCCTCGCGCCCCTCATTTACGCGTTCCCGATGATGGGTGCGAGTGCGTAGGGTGCTAGATCCATGGTAGGGTGTCCAGGGAGGTCTTTGGCCCCGCCCCCTTTGCGCCCCTGATCCGCACTTCGCCGTAGCCTGCATCTATGCGCACTCTGGCGAAGGATATTGCCCATAAATCTTTGCGGTACACACCAAAACGTCGGGGAAATGCATTTAAGTGTAAGTTTTGAAATATATATGCTGTATGTGTGTAAATAAATGTTGCTATGTTACTTGCAGAAGCATAAATGACTAATTGAAGAATTACGGACATTCTATGCAAACAATTTCATAACTTTTTTAATCCAAGTTTTCATGTAACATTCAATTTAAACTTTACACTAAGTACAATAAACAAAGGATGTATAAAAACTGACCAGAAAACAGTTAGTTACCCACATTTAACTTAAAATTATACAGCTATCTCAAATTACGAATAATCAATATACATGTATTTTAACGTGTGTGGAGCAACTGTTTCCCACAGAGTCGGACGAAATGAAAGTTTAGGTCTGAAAATGACCATTTCTTAACTAGTCGATGACGTAACCTGCACTCAGTGTGCACTGTCCCAATTCTGCTTTTCTGCACTCTTGTAGCCTGCACACTCAAACCCTAATTGCGTGCACTTTAAACAAATGCACACTTCGTAGAGGAGTGCAGGTTGCAGTGTGGGTGTTGGGATTTACAGAACACCATCTACCTTCACACATTTATGATATTCGGAAGAAGTTTAAGACCAAAAATGATATATTGGAGAGTCAACCCCACTTCCTTACAGCTGAAATCCTCAGGAGGCTACAAAAAAATAACAAAACAACTCGATAAAGACACTGGATCACATTAGAAAAAACATATTTATTTATATATACTTAAATATATATATATCCAATACATTTCTGCAAGAGGACGTTGGTCATAGGACAAGTAGCATTGAAAGTGGATCACATACAACAGCATGTTTCCGGTACATTCTTGTGCTGTGTTGAAAGTACAAACAGACGAATGCAGACAGGAGCACAGAGACACAAGAACAAGACCTCTACAGTTGTGCTTCAAAGGTCACGCCCCCCACGGAGAATGATTTTGTGCGTGTGTTATTGTGAAATTAACAATTTTTCTAATTTCAAATCATAACGTAATAATGTATAATTGTGACATGTTAGTGCTGTATGAACCAGCTCAGACTCTGCTGGGACTCTGAGGAGCACAGGGACTGGTCTCCTGCTGGGACTATGAGGAGCACAGGGACTGGCCTCCTGCTGGTGCCCAGAGTCAGGACTAAACATGAGGAGGCAGCATTTCAGATTTATGCAGCTAAAATCTCGTTTTACTGAAAATGGGAGACAGGCCTCAATGTTTGAATCCAGGTTACATAGTGTTGAGCTGCAACAACTGAAGGATTGTAATCTTCAGTCTTTTTAATCTATTATTAACAATGATTTTAATGTATTGTGTGATTTAGTTTTTGTTTTACTTGTTATGTTCAGCACTTTCAGTAACCAAAACAAAACAACAGCTGGGTGTGAAGCACAACTGTAGCAGCTCTAAAGTCAAATAAGATCCACTTGGAATAATTAGTTTTCGTTCCTATATTTTAACAAAGCAACAGAGGTTTAGTGTCTTTTCCAAACCATCCTCTCATTTCCCTGTTTCCACCAAAGCTCCACTTGGCCATACTCTACTCTACTCTACTCTACTCTACTCTACTCTACTCTACTCTACTCTACTCTACTCTACTCTACTCTACTCTACTCTACTCTACTCTACTCTACTCTACTCTACTCTACTCTACTCTACTCTACTCTACTCTACTCTACTCTACTCTACTCTACTCTACTCTACTCTACTCTAGTATCTGGTGCTGTATCCTAGATATCTACCCACAACCAACCAGTGGTTCTTAACCTGGGATAGATCGAACCCTGGGGGTTTGGTGAGTCTGTCTCTGGGTTGGGCAGAGCGTCTGCCGCAGAGGTCCACACACACCTGAAGTATCTGTGATGGAGCATGTGTCGCTCTTCCTGAAGCAGACTGCGAAACATTGCGTCAGAGCGTGTATCAAAACAGTCTCGGACTCTGTAGCTATGGCTTCACTTTGTCTCAACTTTGTCGAAGCAAATCATTGTCTCAATGAGTTTTCCAGCTTCTCATTGGTTCAAACTGTTCATATGTGCCTTCTTAGTTTGACAGCTTTTAGTGACGAGGTGCAGTATAAAGGATGTATCACTATTTCTTCACAAGGTTTTACAGTGTTGGTGACTTTGGAGCATCTGCAAGTGGAAAACTGGTATGGTTTGGGATCATTTGGATTTTATTCAACCAAACAAGGTGTTGTCTCATTGTGTTGAACTGTTGAAAAAACCTGTGATCTGCAAGAAGTGGAGTTGTTTGTGAATAGCTTTAGATGTGAACAAACTTGTCTATTTAAGGATTCCTTAATAATAACAACAACAGTATATCTATGTTTACTGCAGTAGGATGCTCTCTTCTTATAGTTATGAGAGAAGATGAAACATATGAATTTGACACCACATTTAGAACGTGAACTAAGTACTGCTATTCAGAAGCTGCAATGATTATATTTGTCCACCAGATGTCAGTGTTACACACGAGTCTGAGCTAGTTCAGAGGCTTCACACATTTGAAACAGTCTGGGAATGAAAGCCTCAGTGTGCTACAGGGCTTCATATGTCCAGTTATTGCTAAGAATGTTCTGGATTTTTAAATACCATTTCTTTTACAACATATCTTTGCAAGCAATGCCTTTTGAGGATGCTGGATATAAAAATAAAGAAAAGGAACAGGTTTTGCTGTGAAAATGACATGAGAGTGAAGGTGAAGCCAAGCACAGCTGGTACAGTATGTAATGTGTTGTGAGTTCAGCATTGTGTTGGTTTTGTTCTTTGAACAAGGTATTGTTCATTCACGGCTCATTTTCAGTCAAATCGATGTCTTAAAAAATCACCATATATAAATAAAACATGTTCAACTTTTCACTCAAGAGGGGTTTGGTGAACGCTCATAAAACGAGTGGGGTTCGGTTCCTCCAACAAGGTTAAGAACCACTGCTCTAGCATCACTTTGGACTGGATAGAAGCAGGACTAAGCATGTATTACAGACGTATTGGCAAACACTCCCAACCAGGGTAGAGTAGAGTAGACTAGGGTAAAGGGTAAAGTCGGGTAAAGGGTAGAGAATCGAGAAGGGTAGAATAGGGTGAAGGGTAAAGTAGGACTGGTGGAAACTGGGCTTTACTTCAAAACATTCTTCATGTTTGCACTTTGGTCATTGATAATAAACTCTCTCAATTTTATATATTGTTTGTTCTTTCAAATATACTTTTTACACATTTTTCAACTTGACTATTTCAAAGAAAGTATGAGGGTATGGGGCCATACTTGTGAATACATTTGGTCAAAAACTCTCACAAAGACTGTTTCAATAATATTTGTGTGTGCGTAAACAGATTTGTGTGTGCGTAAAAAGATTTGTGTGTGCGTAAAAAAAAATGTGTGTGTGCGTAACCAGATTTGTGTGTACGTAAACAGATTTGTGCGTGCGTAACCAGATTTGTGTGTGTGTAAAAGAAATACTTGTGCGTGTGTAAATAGATTTGTATGTACGTTGGCTACACAGACATTTTCCCCATAGAACTCAAAGTAAACTAAAACAACTGACAGATAACCTACAGCTTTCATAAAGGTCGGATTTTGTGGGAATTTTAGTGTCCCTGGTCATCCTGAACTTTTCCTAACACTTAAGTGCCACAAACTCTGCTGGTTTGCTTGCGTGTAGGTAACGACCAGCCACAACAGCACCATCTGCTGGTGTACTGCAAGAACAACCACATTACACTTAAGAATCTTTTTGACACACCTCTGCCGCCAAGCGCGTGTAAAACAGAGCCTGTGCGTAGCACTTAGGCTTTTTTCGTTCTTCTCTTCGTACAACATGGTTATTTACACACAGATTGTTCTGTTACAGATACAAATGTCAAATTACACACACACAACTCTGGGTACAGACGCACACAGTCCAAGTTACACTTGTGAATTTGCGAAGGCAGGACGGCGTCTAAAGATTCGTGTGTAAAAAAAAACACAAATCTTTCTACGCACACACACATCTTTTTACGCACACACAAATATTTCTTTTACACTCACACAAATCTGGTTACGCACGGACAAATCTTTTTGCGTACACACAAATCTGGTTACGCACACACAAATCTGGTTACGCACGCACAAATCTTTTTACGCACACACAAATATTATTGAAATAATAATAGCTCCATACTGGTGGAAAACCCAAACTGTGAAACTCAGATCTTTAGTCCAGATGTATGGCCTGATGGGAGATTAAAAAAGGGAAACGCGATCATAGAGGTCACACTGCAAAGTCCATGTGAGGCACTCTCTCCATAGACTTGAACCTAAGTACATCTGGGATATGTTAGTGCCATAGATGAACCAACTGAGACTCTGAAGAGCACAGGGACTGGCCTCCTGCTGGAGTTTCCCTGAAAATGTGAGACAGGCTTCTACTCTGACCATGTTCGAAACCAGGTTAAAACAGTTTTGCCGGATTGTATCTTCACTCTTTTTAATGCGCTGTGATCATTTATGGTTTTAATGCCTTGTGTGATTGTTTCTTGTTTTGTTGAGCACTTTGAGTTGCCTTGTGTATGAACTGTGCTATACAAATAAACTTGCCTGGCCTCGTCTAGCTCATTCTAAACCTCTAGAGCTGAGTGGGTCCTCTGCTGCTGCGTGGCTCTGAGCTGCCAGGAGAGGGCGCCGATACCAGACTGCGCAGAAACACTCGGGGGTTTTTCTTGCTTCCTTGTCCCAGTGCTGAAGCTGGAGCTGGGGCTAGAGGAGGCACCACAGGAGGGTCCACTGCTGCTGATGCTGCTGCTGATGCTGATGCTGCTGCTGATGCTGATGCTGCTGCTGATGACGGAGGCTTCAGCGTGGACATCAATGGCTGCAACTCGTGCGAACTCTCCTCCTCCTCCTCTTCTTCCTCTTCTTCTTCTTTTGGAGGTTTTTCGGGAAACAAAAATGACCCGTGCACGAGCTGCGAGCTGGAGGTGCTGAAGAAGACGGAGGTGCTGGTGGACGGCGTGTAGGAGGCCTGCAACAGAACCACTTCATATTAATGCTAACACCATGGTGATGTCACACTCGGCCAGTGCACTCCTAATATGCGCTCTACGAACTACAACTGTATTGACTTATTTTATATTCTGATACTGTCTTTGTAAATCCAGATATGAGCCATTTATGGACTGACCAATTTCAGTCCTTATGAGTCATATGAGGACTGAAATTCTTTGCTGTATTCCTCTCTGGTCTCTCTCTGGTCTCTCTCTGGTCTCTCTCTGGTCTCTCTCTGGTCTCTCTCTGGTCTCTCTCTGGTCTCTCGCTGGTCTCTCGCTGGTCTCTCGCTGGTCTCTCGCTGGTCTCTCGCTGGTCTCTCTCTGGTCACTCTCTGGTCACTCTCTGGTCACTCTCTGGTCACTCTCTGGTCTCTCTCTGGTCTCTCTCTGGTCTCTCTCTGGTCTCTCTCTGGTCTCTCTCTGGTCTCTCTCTGGTCACTCTCTAGTCTCTCTCCGGTCTCTCTATGGGAAAACTCCTGCTTGCCTTAGCGACCATCTTAGCAACACGTTTGCTCCTGTTACGGTATGAAGCTAACGCCGCAGAAGAAACGCCAATAAAAGGACATAAGGAATCCCGCTAGCTAATGTTCAAATCGGCTTCTTCTGTCTTAAGGCTAACACTATGGTGATGTCACACTCAGGCAGTCCACTCCTGATGTACGCTCTCTGTGAATGCCTTTAATTATTTATATTATTATCACAGTATAGTCACATAGATACAGTATATAGGTAGACTACAGTTCCACCAGAAGTGCATATACAATAGTTGTGGCCTTACTGGGCGGGGCGTTCCGAGCCGGGCTAGGACACCGACTCTGGGGTGGACCACCTCGGCAGCGGGTGGGGGTCCAGGGGGGGAGGAGATGCTCTCGAGGGAGGAGATGCTCTGGTTCCAGGCTCGCTGCAGATCCACAGGGATGATCTTTGTGGCCTCTAGGGAAACGCAGGGAGGGGGGGAGCCCACGCCGCCTTTCCAGGGCAGAGGGGTGTCCAGGCTGAGGGGGCGCGAGGGCGGGCTGGCCAGAGGGCTGCTGGAGGCCTGTGGAGCGGCCGAGTCTGAGGACAGAGACCAGAGAGGTGTTAGAAGTGTTAGAGGCAGACTGACCAACCAGGGAGACCAGAGAAAGACTGGAGAAAGACCAGAGACCAGGGAGCACTGAGAGACTAGAGAGGGACCAGAACAAGACCAGAGAGAGAGCAGAGTGCGTATGCTAAGAGTGGACTGACTGAGTGTGACATCAGCATTGTGTTACCCATAATGTGGAAGAGGCTGATAGGAACATAAGCTAGCTGTTGCTGATGTCCTTATTTGGGCATTTGTTTGAATGGGGTTAGCGTACTGGAACGTGGCAGACCAGAGAGACCAGAGAGAGACCAGAAAGACCTAAGAGAGACTAGAGATATATCAGACCAGACCAGGGCTGGACTGGGACAAAAAAACGGCCCGGGCATTTTTTCCTTTTTAGCGGCCCAGGCAACTCAAAAGGTTCAAGGAGCCATATTTGACAAAAAACTAAAAACAGCGTTGTATAAGGCTTATATGAAGGTAACAGGGGCTGAAGCTGTATTAGCTACATTAGCAACCTTAGCTACTGTAGATTCGTGAATAAGAATCAGTCCATTGGCCGTGCGTAATAAGCTTTTTATTAGCAGCTAACATGAACATGTGGTCTAGACTGCAGTAAGGCATGAACTGGGTAACTCAACCCTGACACCTACTGTTCACCCCCGGTAACTGGTGTAAGGTAAGCAATAAGGACAATCTAAATGTGACACTTAATATAACATTGTCTACATCCCTCCTTTTAACTTTTTTGCATAGGGCAAATAGTGAATAAAACTTAGCATCTATCAATTCACACTTAAACAGGGATAAACCTTTGTGTCAATTGTAACATAACATTTTTCAATAAAATAAACATTGTGAAAACTCTGTATACTCTGGGTCTTTTCTAATCTGAGTATTTGCTGTTTGGTTTAGACACTCTACCATATCTGGTTCGGTACATGTTATCACATTTCACAGGAGTTTTTACAGGTGGGTCATTCAGTGTAACGTTGTCATACATTTTCTGTTCACATTGTTTTTTGTCTTGTATTGGTTTTACGTTCTCAGTCATTTCGCGTGCGTCACTTTGTGTTTTCTCAGTCTCTGATTTGTCTTCATGTTGATACATATCCGTCTCGTTTGACTGTGGAGTGACTGGATCTGGATGTGGTTCGTTTACAGGCAGAATGTGTTGCCTGTTGCGTCTGTATTGTTTCCCATCTGACTCGACAACATAGGAACGAGGTTCAGTACAGACTCTGCGTATGACTCCAATCTTGTCATGTCCTTTTTGTGTTTGTAATCTCACCACCTGGTTTTGTGTTAGAGGAGTGAGTGGCTTACTTGACTTGTCAAAATGTTGTTTTTGGGCTTTGCGCTTTTTTGTGAGCTGGGCTTTGATGGTTGTTGTCACCTTCGCTGCTGGTTTTAACATTGTTTTACAAACGGGGAGAGTGGACCGCGTTCTCCTGGAAAACAGTCTTTGGGCTGGTGATCCAAGGATGTTATCTCGTGGAGTGTTTCGTAGATGGAGAATGTTCAAGTAGAAATCGGTCCCGTCCCTTTTTGTTGTCTCAAGAAGTCTCTTTGCACTTCGAACAGCTCTCTCACTGAGGCCGTTTGACTGAGGGAACTCAGGGCTGCTCGTGACATGTTCAAACTCCCAGGATGTAACAAAATCGCGGAATGTTTGACTTGTGAACTGTGTTCCGTTATCGGAGTACAGTTTCTCTGGTATTCCGTGAACAGAGAAGTTTCGTTTCAGTTTTTTGATCACACACGCTGAGGTGATGTTTTCAAGTCTGTCCACTTCAAACCACCCAGAATAGGAATCAACAAGCACGAGATAGTAGTTGTTGTCCCACTCGAATATGTCTGTGGCAGTGATGGACCATGGGAGATCCGGAATGTAATGATGTTTTAGAGGTTGCCTTTGTTGGTGAGGTTTTAGGCTGTTACACACACCGCATGATTTTACCTTTTCCTCAATGTCCCTGTTTATGGTGAGCCAGAAAACGGTGTCCCTTGCTCTCCTTTTTGTAGACTCCATGCCTGGATGTCCTCTGTGCAGCTCCTGCAAATACACATCCTGCAGCGCAGCTGGAACAATGACTCTGTTATTTTTCATTACAACATTGTTATCAACAAAAAGTTCATCACGAATGTTGAAGAAAGGTTTTATTGTTTCCGGTACACTGCTCACTCGTGCTGGCCACCCCAGCTGAATGTAGTGAATCAGTGTTTGCAGAGTAGTATCAGCTCTCGTTTGCTCGGCAAGCTCTTGCAAACGTTGTGAAGAAATGAGCTGAATTGACATTACCTCAAAGTCATGTTTTTCTTCCTGCAGCGGTGGAGTATCCACTTTTGGTGTGCGAGAGAGTGTGTCTGCAATGTAGACAAGAGTCATGTTGAACTTTTGTAGTCTCAGCATCATTCTTTGCAGTCGTGCAGGGACTGTGTGAAAGGGCTTGTTCTGGATTGTGACCAGCGGCTGGTGGTCAGTTTCAATCACGACTGGCTTTCCATAGATGTAGTCGTAGAATTTGTAACACGCAAACACAACTGCGAGTAACTCCTTCTCGATCTGTGCGTACCTTCTTTCCGTGTCGGTCAGAGTACGTGATGCGTATGCGACGGGTTTGTTGCCCTGTAGACAGGCAGCTCCGAGACCGTATTGAGAAGCGTCGCAGGTGAGGGTCACTGGTTTTTGCATGTCGTAATACTGGAGAACTGGTGGGCTTGTGATGCATGCTTTAAGTTTGCGGAAAGCATCCTCCTGATGTTGAGTCCAACTCCACACCACGTCCTTGTGGAGCAGTTGGCGTAATGGTGCTGACAGTTCACTCAAGTTCGGAATGAACTTACCTAGGTAGTTGATCATGCCTAGGAAACGCTGAAGATAAGCCTTGTCTTCAGGTGAGTGCATGTCATTGATTGCAGCCATTTTGGTTGGGTCTGCCTTGAGTCCAATGTTAGTGAAGATGTGCCCAACATAACTCACTTCATTGAGCCTGAATCTGCACTTTTCTCTATTCAGTCTTAATTTCACTTGTCTGGCGCGTTCCATAACTTTCTTGAGATTTATGTCGTGTTCCACAATTCCTTTACCTCCAACCAAGATGTCATCGACGATGATCGCACATGGATATCCTGCAAATATCTGTTCCATGGCTTTTTGGAATACTTCAGAGGCTGTGTTGATACCAAATGGCATTCTCAGAAACTTAAATCTGCCAAATGGCGTGGCAAATGTGGTGAGTAGTGAGGAAGCGTCATCTAGTTTGATTTGCCAGAACGAACTTTTTGCGTCCAACACAGAGAAGACTGTTGCTCCTGACATTTGTGCCGCTACTTCCTCCACTGTGCGCATGGGATGGTGTGGTCTCATTAGCGACTTGTTTAGGTCTCTCGGGTCGATGCAGAGACGCACATCATCAGCTTCCTTCTTGTGCGTAGCCACCATGTTTGACACCCATTCAGTTGGCTCCTCCACCGGTTCAATTACACCAAGTCGCTGCATTCTTTTGAGCTCTTTTTTCACTTTGTCTTGCATAGGCACTGGGATGCGTCGTGGAGGATTGACAACTGGTATGGCATTTGGAGCGAGTTTCATTGAGTATGTGACAGGTGTCATATTATCACCGTTTTATGTCCTAGTGCACTTACCGTAGTGAGTATCGCGGTGCATGCTGGGTATTGTATGCTGAGCAGGAGTGTAAGGCGCGAGAGTAAATAAAGCAGACATTATTGAAACTCTCACTCGGGCTGTTCATTCTAGTACCAAGAACATTACATGGTGTCAGAGACTCAACGGACCGTACGCTTCTAAAAAGAGCAAGAGATGGCTTCGTCGGTAGTGCCAACACCGCAGATGGATTGGGACTCTGCGAACCTTCCCGACGCATGGCGGAGATTCGTGCAACATGTGCAGCTAATGTTTTCAGGACCGCTTCCTGCTGCCTGCTTCCTGCTTCTCGAGAGAGCGGTCGTGTCTCTCTGCTCTGCTTTTGCTTCGCCTTTTAATCTCCCTGAATCATTTTATTTACATTTTTTGTTTCTCCTTTAATCATTTTATTTACAAAACGAGGATTACTCCTTCTACACACTTCAGCTTTGTGGAATTTATCAACATTAGTCATGTCGGGACGGAAGAGACGGAGAAGCGTCTGCGGTGGCTGTTGTGCTTTGGAAAATCAGCTTAAATCTCTTCAAACACGGATATCTATTGTGGAAACAGAAATGGGACTTAACCCGACTCTTCCAATGAGTGAAAATGGGATGAATGGACAGACTGGAAATGTAAGTTATGACGTCATTTCTTTTCCCAAAATCAACAATGAGAATTATTGGAACAATTGTGGAGCCAAACCCAAAGTTGACAAAGCTAAGAATGACAATAGGAGTGAAATAAGGCCACAACTAAATGTTCTGAAGACTTCAAACCGCTTTTTACCCCTTTCTGAAACAACAAAGCTGCTAAAAACTGCAGCGCCTCCACCAAGGACAAACTGTATCCTTATCGGAGATGGCTCGGTGAAAAATGTAAACATGGAGTCCATGCTCACTGTCTCAGTTCCCTCTGCTAAAGTTGCTGAGATAAGAACTCTTCTGCCTAAAGTGTTATCTGAGAACAGTGGTGTGCGTACATTATTGATCCACACGGGGGCGGTAGATATCTATGAGAAGGCAAGCGAGAAGTTACGAATGGATTTAACGCTGTTACTGGATGACCTCAAGAAAATGGACATAACAATTTTTCTTAGTGGCCCACTGCCAAATATAGATGGAAAAATGGAGAAGTTTAGCCGTCTGTATCAGCTAAATACATTTCTACTCAATGAGTGTTCACGCAGAGGACTTGGCTTCATTGAAAACTTTAATCTGTTCTGGAATAGGCACGAGCTTTTTGAAGAAAAAGGCCCACATCTGAACAACTACGGAGTAAAAGTGCTGATGGATAACTTTGCATCTGCCCTAAGACCTCAGCCTGCGCAGCGCGTGCAGCCGT